GGGCTGTCTTGGACCATCCTGGGCCACCTCGGGGCTCTCTTGCGACCTTTTGGGGCTGTCTTGGGGGCATGTTGGGACCTGCCACCTATGGATCCCCATCCTTACGTCCTGGGACACTATGTGATCTCTCTGGGGCCACTCTTGGGACGTTTTTGGGAGTCTTCGGAGCTCTAGTCGGCCCTTGTCGAGGCCTCACTTGGAGCCGTTTTGGGTGATCGAGGGATTATGTAGAGGCTTCGCGAGCACATAGGCATCGAATCGGCGAGAAATTCCGATCTCGCTGAAACACCTAGAGAGTTTGACGGATTTGGGCCTGCAAGGGGTCTCTATCCGTTTATTCCGCTCTTGGGCTGCTGCTTAGCTGGCTTGAAGCTAATTTAATTTAGGCCTCTCCTGGAGCCCTTCCAGCCCCCACTTGGGGCCATCTTGGTCGATGGTGGAGCCATCCTGAGGCCTCAGAAGCCCACAGGCAAAATGCGAGAAAACAGAACTCACGAATCCACCTACGGTTTTTGAAGACGTTTGGCTTCCTGCGGGGGCTGTCTTTGGGCCGTCTTGACGCTAGCCACCCATTTATTCATCTCCTGCCGCTGTTGGTCCCACTTGGAGCTATCTCGGGCCTCTCCTGGGGAGCTCTTGGGAGTCGTCGGAGCCCTCTTGGGGCATATCCATGCCTTGGTAGGCCCTGGAAACGACAGGGCCGTTTTTTTACGGGTTCCCTTCTGCAGTTTTTTTGGACGGTTCCGGCGCCGTTCTTTTATTGGTTCCGGCGCCGTTTTTCTTATTGGTTCCGGCTCCGGTTCCAGTTTTGGAGCCGTTTTTGTTGCCGTTTCCAGTCGCCGTTTTTTTGCCGTTTCTATTTTCAAGAGATCATTTTTCGGAAACGGTGGAAAAACGGGTTTGCCGTTTCCGGGGCCGCTAAGGTCCAGGCCCCATTTGGAGCCGTCTTGGGCATCTCGGGTGATTCCGCATCCAACTTGAGGCATCAGCAGCTTATTGGAAGCAAGAGTGTGAGAACATCACAAGTTCGGATGCAACTCCTGGGAGGTCAAATTCTGATTTCGCCCTGGTCCGGAATCCGGCTTAACCCCGCTTAATCCCGCGTAATCCCGCTTGATCCGAGGCCCATTCCGGCGTAACAGCCCCCCAATGGGGCTCAATCCTCCTTAATCTTTCCGACGAGAACCTCCCTGTGGTTGCCTCCTAAAAGAGTGTGAGAACCACTTCGGCCCCCTGGGGGCCTCGGGGGGGCTGCCTGGGACCCTCTCGGGCCACGCTGGGGCTACGTAGGGCGTGCCGATCATTAATTTTGGCAGCCTTGGGCTCTCTTGGAGGTCCCTCCTCCTCCTCCTCCTCCTCCTCCTCCTCCTCCTCCTCCTGGGGCTGTCTGAGGGGTCTGAAGGGCGGCGCCCAGCACAAAAAACTTCTGCCCTAGTTTCCCAGGAGTTTACCGAGATCTTGCCAGGACCCAGCTGGAGTTTTTTTCGTCTGCCCCCCCCCCTCCCGAGGGGTCCACGTGTGCTTTACCCTTTAGGGAGCTGAGGCTAGTCGACAGCCTGCGTCCAAATGAGAAGTGTGTTTTACCCTTCGATCTTGGCGCCCGTTGATTTTGAGCGGAAGCCCCGCTGGGTGTCGGGGGCCCATCGTATGCCTCTTGGGCCTTTCCCGCTTCTTCCGTTGCCATCTCTCTCCCGTTTTCCGGAGGATCGAGGATCGACTTAGGTTCAAGTTTTCGCATCGAGCATTTTTTCGGCTCGCCTGGCGGCTTGGGAGAACGCGGCGCGCGCGCGTCCGCTCTCCTCCTCACTCTCCGTCGTCGTCGTTTGCCTCATTGCTAGCGGTAACTATCTTAATTACAAGGGAACTCGGCCGCCTTCAAGGGCAAGCCGAGGCCTACTATACTACGGGGTTGTTTGGCTATACGGCCAATCTATCCCCACGTCCAGGTTATCAGCCGAAGCAGCGCATGCGCTGCAACTGGCGCGAAGCGCCATGGCGAACGCAGGTGAGCTACAAGCAAACTTAGAAGCCATCATCTCCGGCGAATCCTTCTCCCCGGAGACGTCGAGACCAGCAGCTGCGAAACCCCGGCCAATAGGGTACGGGCAAATTGTGGCAGTGCACCGTGCCTCTGGTGAGGGTCAACGCATGCCGCCGCGCCCCCGTGGTAGGGCGATTGCGGTGGGGAAGCCTGGCGCTATTGCGGCGGGGGGACTTGGCGCGGGCGCGACAAGATTCATGGGATCAGAGGGAGAAGATTTGCCATGTACCCAACTGTCGCTAAACAGGGTTACGAAGCTCCGGTGGCGAAGGCGCCCGAGAGCAACTTCCCATTCGACCAGGCGCAACCAGTGCCGTCCCGACTGGTCGAACAGCAATTGTCTAGGCAGCAGGCGGGGCTGCGAGGAAGAATTGTGGTCCGAAGCAGCCGCCGCAGAGAAATCCATATCGGTTTCAACGGCCCATATGCTCCAGACACTTTGCCAGCAGATGGCTGAAAACCAACGGCTGGCATTGTCGGGGCGAAGCAGAGTGTTTGAACAACGACAAGAGTCGAGCCTCGGAAGACTGCGAGCAATATTCACGGAGTTCGCAAGCGAATTTCAAGCGCATGATGCTGAGAGCGTGGGCCCTCGGGCTCGCGAACTGTTAGATAATCTTGTTCCCGCTGCCGTGCTGGCGCGCTGGGGTGACCAGCGAACAACTTGACTGGGGGCCGGCTACATTCTGGAGCGAATCAGTGCTATAGGGCACGCGGTGCAAGGACATGACACCCTCGAGGGCATGGGCTATCATGCCAGAGACTCGCAACATCGAGTCAACAGCAACCTGGCGGCCCAAAGTCGACACGAAATCAACGAGATCATACCCAGCATTCAGGAGGCGGTGAAGTCTCTCGCCTTCCTCCAGGACAGACTGGACAGCGCTGGAGGAAAGCGCTCCACCGACGGTGATGTGGTATCTGCGCAAGAAACTCTTCTCCCGGAGTTCCAAATTAGGTTCACTCCCTATGTGACAGGGCTTGCGGGCATGCAAGGGTTAACGCTAACTTGAGCGACCAGGTCCACTACAACAGAGACCTCCACGTTGCGAGAGTAGATAGAATTCACCATGAGGCTGTTGCTGAGGCTCGCCGTAGAAGCATAAGGGTGGATCGCCTCGTGCGAACAGTAAGTGAGCACCATCAGGAAACCGCCGTGCAGCATGCGGCCATGGCCCGACAGCCATTCCCGGCTGCGCGGCACGTTCGCTTGGTCACTTATTGGGCAATGCCCGCAATTGCGGTTGGGAATTGGCCGACTGGGGAGTTGTGGGAGACGCGAGCCCGCCATCTGTTGTGGTGCTGCCGGCGATTGCGTCGGGGAGACCTGGTGCTGTTGCTGCGGGGAAACCTGGCGCTGGCAACGCCGCAGCGCCTCAAGGTAGGGGCGTCATTGGTGCTCCACCGCCGCCGCAGCCGCATCCTGAGTGGAGGTCGTTGTAACGGGCGCGAACTATTGAATGCGCTAGACAGGCCATGGCGTGACAAACCTGTCGTGCAAGAGTTGTGGGCCCAGTCCCCAGGGGCGTGGCGTGGCGCGCCAGATGTTCCGCTGCCGCCAGACATCGAGAGAGTTGGTGCCAGGGTGGACTCGTCGAACGGCTGGCAGTCCGCATCCCCCCCACCCGCCCGCCAGCGCGACCCTCCGCCCCGACCCCTTGTATTTCGGCACGGCACACCCCTCCGCCCCGACCCCTTCATTCCGGCACGGCCCCCCCCCCCCCGCATCCCCCCACCCACCAGCCAGCGCGCCTCTCCGCCCCGACCCCTTTTATTTCGGCACGGCACACCCCTCCGCCCCGACCCCTTCCTTCCAGCACGGCACACCCCCCTCCGCATCCCCCCCACCCACCAGCCAGCGCGCCCCCACGCCCCGACACCTTTTTATTTCGGCACGGCACACCCCCCCGCATCCCCCAACTTACCAGCCAGCGCGCCCCCATCTGCCCCGCGACCCCTTTATTTCGGCACGGCCCCCACTCACAAGCCAGCGCGCCCCTCCGCCCCGACCCCTTTCTATTTCGGCACGGCACCCCTCCGATTCTCCCCCTTCCTTTTTGTGCAAGAGCCATGGCTCAGGAGGAAAAGAAACACACAGACACAACTAATCCTCGATTCCCCAGAAAATAGGGAAAATATGGGAAGTGGGGGGAAAGACAAAAACCCAGAAAATATGATAAGATATGGGGAATCCTTTTATTTGTGTGTATGTATTTGTGTGTCCCAGGGCCCCTTCAATGGCGCACGTGCCACTTGTTTCCTGAATATCCCTCCTGTAGAGGGACAGGCACGGCTGAATCCCGAGCGGCAGCGACGCGCGGGCGGGCGCTCGACCTCGCGGGGTCGCGCGAGCCGTGCTCGGCGGGCTCGTCGCTTCTGCGACGGCTTGAGCGGTTCGGTGGCCCCGAGGGGGGGGACAGCCAAGGAGGAGGAGGGAGGAGGAGGAGGAGGAGGAGGAGGAGGAGGAGGAGGAGAAGGAGGAGAAGGAGGAGGAGAGGGGGGGGGAGGGGTGTGCGGATATGAGCTGAACCATCAATCTCCACGGGTGACACTCGTGCATTCTAGTGCCTTCCTCAGGGGCAACGCTAAGGGGGAGATAGGCACAGGGTGGGGCGCATCGGCCCCCAGCCGCCCCATCATCGCCAACGCGGGCCCGATGGACCCCCTCCCCGCCCGGGAACGTGCCGTTTCGCTATCGGGGGTCTCTCGTTGATCTATGGGCGATCTATCGCCGACTCAGGCTCGACGACCCCCCTCGCCTCCCGCCTGAACTGGTTCACCCCCGCGCGTTGCCCCTCAGCTCCTCCCCCCCCCTCCTCCTCATCCCCCTCCAAACCCTCCTCCTCCTCCTCCAAACCCTCCTCCTCCTCCTCCTCCAAATCCTCCTCCTCCAAATTCTTTTTCTCCTCCTCCTCCTCCTCCTCCTCCTCCTCCTCGCCCTCCCGTTCTGGGCTCCCAGGCGCAGGGCGCCGCCGCGGCGGCCGTGGAGCTGAACCGAGCGTGGGCGCCTCGGTCGCCAGCGGTTCGCCATTCGGATGCTCGCTTTCAATCTGCTCCTCCTCCTTCTCCTCCTCCTCCTCCTCCTCCTCCTCCTCCTCGTCATTGGTCTCCTCCTCCTCCTCCTCCTCTCCTCCTCCTTCTCCTCCTCCTCCTCCTCCTCCTCCTCGTCATTGGTCCTCCTCCCCCTTCTCCTCCTCCTCCTCCTCCTCCTCCTCCTCCTCCTCCTCCTCCTCTTCCAGCGGTTCGCCTTCGGGGCAGACGGGGTCGGAGGATCGCGCCGCATCGGCGATACGTCGCCGATGTGGCTCGATGCGGAGCCCGATTTTCTCCACCACGCCGACGTCGCCGATGCGTCGCCGACGTCGGCGATGCATCGTCGGTGCATCGCTGGTGCATCGGCGATGCATCGCTGATTGCATCGCCGATGTATCGCCGATGCGGCGCGATCCTCCGACACCGTCTACTCCGACCCCATATAGGAGGCCTCTATTCAAGTGCACCACGCCCGCTGGGGAAGCGATTGCATTCGTTCATGCAGCAAAGCAAAAACTTCGCCGAACTCCCGACGGCCTCAAGTGTCCTCCTCCCGCGGAGAGGAGGGATTGTTATTGGGGACGATGGCGTTGGACGCGCGGAGGGGGCGGGCTTGATGGAGTAATTACCACGCGGAACTCCCGCTGGTGGCTGCACCACCGCGGTGTTTTTCTTGGGTCGCGTTCCCTGGAGGCCCAAGGCATGGGCGTTTTGCGCCGACATGCTCGTTTCTGATTCGTATCATTCATGACCTCTCCTACTCCGCTGCTTCCGTCTGCTGCTCCCTGATGTCACTCCTTTCCAGCTTGGGGCGCCAGTGGCACCCGTGGGGGGGGGAGGGGGGGAGGGGGGCGTTCTCGGCGCGCAAGAGAGGGTGCGCACGCATGCTGGCCGCGCGCAGGATGAGGTCCGTGCTGGGCCGCAAGAGCTCTTCGACCGTTCCTTGACCAGGGAGCTGCTGCGAATCCGCGCTGTCGCAGATGCCTGGTCGCTGTACGGCTCGGCCTCGGAAATGTCGCCAGCACGCAGTCGCGATGCACCCAACGCCAACGTGCCGCGGGCACGGTGGTGCATTGTGTTTTGCGTCGGTGTTTATGCGGTCGTCTCTTTTCTTTGAGCTGCTTCAGGATGACAGGAGGAGCGGTGGATGACCAGAGCCGGGTGCATAAATATGTGCCCCGTCCCCCTGGTGGCGGGCGGTTTGAGGTCACACCGCTTGGGTAGCGATATTCCACGTTCTGTTTTTGCGGTATGTTCGGCTCGGACATGCGCTTCCAAGTGCGGTGCATAGTACCAGTGTACTCCAGATTTCGTGATAAAGGGAGGGGGGTCTCATTTCGGGGGGGGTCTCTTCCAGGCTATCTTGGAGGGCCTGGGGGGGTCTGGGGACAATGTTTTGGAGGGTTCTCCCACGGGGGGTGGTCTGAAACTTCTCGTCTTGGAGGGTCCAGACCCCCTCCCTTTTATTACGAAATCTGGAGTATCCTTCTGCGTCCCATGGGTGGAGCGAAGGTGGACGAAGGCCCAGTACCGCCTGGCGGAGGCCCAGTCGCACCTGGGTTTGCACAAGGTCGCGCTGAGCCAGGTGCCGCGCTCCTGCGCTTCTCGTGTTCCCCTCTGCCTCTCTCTCGAAGGATTGAAAAAAAAACATTATCGTTTTTTTTTTGTTTTTGCAATCCTTTATCCAGGTTTTTTGTTTTTATTTGTGTTGCCATCCTTCGGTTTTTTTTTACAATCCTTCGTTTGTTTTTTTGTTTTGCAATCTCTCTCTCCTCCTCGCTGTCTGCTCAGCCCCCACGCCACCTCGGGAAGTTTAGCCGGATCGGATCCGTAAGGGCTTCATGCCTTCGTCGGAGGCTGGGGGATGAGATACAGTCGGGGCCCTGAGGAAGGAACCCTTTTCGTTGTGGAGGGGCTCGGTGTTCCTTAGTTGTTCTGCAGTTCGCCTTTGGTTTTGCTTTGGGTTTCTATGGGAAATCGAAGTTTAACTTGTGGGAAAAAGGGGCCTCGTTCCTTATTTAGGGTTCCTTAGGTCAACGCCCCGCCCGTAGCAGTGGAACGGAGGGCCCCCCACCGAGAAATCGGCATCGGCTCCGTGCTCGTGTCGTGCGTGCGGGCGCGGCGAAGCTGCGCGGGTGCGCGGGAGGAAGGATGCCGCCGTGGCCAGGGGCCGTGGAGCCGGTGGCCTCAGCTGCCTTCCGTCGGAGAGTTTCTTGAACATACCGCGCTCTTCCTGCTCATCCTCCCTCCCTCCTCCCTCCTCCTCCTCCTCCTCCTCCTCCTCCTCCTCCTCCTCCTCCTCCTCCTCCGTCTCCTCCTCAATGTTTCGCTATGTTCGGCCGCTGCAGAGGCCCTCGCCGGGCCCCGGGATAGAAACTCTACGACGGAAGGCGGCTGCAGGAGCGACCAGCCGTGGCGCCACGCGACCAGGGTGTTGGCGATGCCGCTCGCGGGGCCGACGCCTCGCAGGACGGTGCTGCGAAGTATCCATGGGGCGATCTTTCTGGACTCCCAGTGTCTGGATCGCGCAGTCCCTCATATCTGGTGTGCGCTGGGTGGGATGACAAACAATCGCACTCATCGCGACCAGCATCATCATCCCGCGTCGTCGCCAACCCGACGGCGCATCACCGGCATCGTCTTCATCACAATCGCAAATATTGCCATCAGTTTTTTTCCCAACCATCCTGTGGTGTTGGGTCCTCGTTTTGAAGAGACGGTCCCCGCGTTCCTTCCCTCCCTCCTTCCTTCCTTCCTTCTCCCACTCCTCCCTCCTCCCATCCCTGCCTCTGCCCTGCGCATGTCCTCAGCGTTTCGTGGCCACATAGGGAGCTCCACCTAAGGTCCCAGCGGCGGTGTCCACATGCGTCTCCGCCACCCAGTACGGCGTTTCGTGGCCCCATAGGGGGCTCCACCTAAGGTCCCAGTGGCGGTGTCCACATGTGTCTCCCCCACCCAGCACAGCGTTTCGTGGCCACATAGGGAGCTCCACCTCGGGTCCCAGTGGCGGTGTCCACATGCGTCTCCCCCACCCAGCACAGCGCCTCGTGGCTCCATGGGGAGCTCCACCTAAAGCCCCAGCGGCGGTGTCCACATGCGTTTCCCCCTCCCAGCACTGCGTTTCGTTTCCACATAGTGGTGTCCACATGCGTCTTTCCCATCCAGCACAGCGCCTCGTGGCTCCATAGGGAGCTCCACCTAAAGCCCAGTGGCGGTGGTCACATGCGTCTCACCCACCCAGCACAGCGCCTCGTGGCTCCATAGGGGGCTACACATAAAGCTCCAGTGGCGGTGTCCACATGCGTTTCCTCCCACCCAGCACAGCGTTTCGTGGCCTCATAGGGTGCTCCACCTAAGGCCCCAATGGCGGTGTCCACTTGTGTTTCCCCCACAGAACAACGCTTCGTGGCTCCACATGGAGCTCCACCTAAGGCCCCAGTGGCGGTGTCCACATGCGTCTCCCCCACCCAGCACAGCGTTGGCTCCATAGGGAGCTCCACCTAAGGTCCCAGTGGCGGTGTCCACATGCGTCTCCCCATCTAGCACAGCGCTGTGTGGCTCCATGGGGAGCTCCACCTAAGGCCCCAGTGGCGGTGTCCACATGCGTCTTTCCCATTCAGCACAGCGTTTCGTGGCAGTATAGGGAGCTCCACCTAATGTCACAATGGCGGTATCCACATGCGTCTCCCCCATCTAGCACAGCGCCTCGTGGCTCCATAGGGGACTCCACCAAAGGCCCCAGTGGCGGTGTCCACATGCGTTTCCTCCCACCCAGCACAGCGTTTCGTGGCCACATGGGGGGCTCCACCTACGGCCCCAGTGGCGGTGTCCACATGCGTTTCCCCCTACACAAAACAGCGCTTCGTGGCTCCATAGGGAACTCCACCTAAGGCCCCAGTGGCGGTGTCCACATGCGCCTCCCCCGCCCAGCACAGCGTTTCGTGGCCACGTAAGGGGGCTCCACCTAAGGCCCCAGCGGCGGTGTCCACATGCGTTCCCCCATCCAGCACAGCGTTTCGTGGCCCCATATGGAGCTCCACCTCAGGTCGCACTGGCGGTGTCCACATGCGTCTCTCCCACCCAGT